GCTGATTCCTCACCTTTCTTATCATCAGTGATACCCCATGAGGTGAGATCTTGCATGGCGCCCCAGTCCGAGGGAGACTGACAGCCCTCTTTAGCCTCTTCCATTTTCTAACAATTGCTCCAACAGTTGATCTATTTTCACCAAGCTACTTGGCAATTGCCCCGTAGCCCTTTCCAGCCTTGTGGAGGTCCACAATTTTGTCTCTGGTGTCTTTTGACAGCTCTTTGGTCTTGCCCATGGTAGTAGTTGGCATCTGATTGACTGTGGGGTGGACAGGTGTCTTTATAGAGCTCAGACAGGTGCTACTAATTTAGATTGAGTGGAGTAGAGGTGGACTTTTTCAAGACACAGTAACAGTTCTTTGAGAGCCAGAATTCTTGCTGTTTCTCAGGTGTTCAAATACTTGTGTTCAGCAGTGCAAGACAAATAAATTCTTTAAAAATCATACAATGTGATTTCCTGCAATTTTTTTTTATTCTGTCTCTCAGAGTGGGAATGCACCTACAATGTGAATGTCAGACCCCTCCATGATTTCTAAGTGGGAGAACTTGCAAAATCACAGGGTGTTCAAATACTTCTGTTCCTCACTGTATATACATATATGCATTCAAAGTACATTAAAAGTACAATGGTGTTAGTAGTAGTTAGCAGTATAAATACCCAAATACAGTGACCCAGGTCTGGTCCAACTGATCATCAGATGACAAAGACTCTCCCTGACTGTAGAAGGGATCCACCTGAGCTGGAGACAGGCACATTTGCTGCACACCTGGAGACACAGGTAGCAGTAGAGAGAGACAGGTGAGCTCTGGTTGTGCTGGACTCCATTGGACTGAAAATTAGCCAGCTGGCTTACACTGAACCATTTACAGATTGTTGTCCGTAAAGAAAAGGAATACTGAGACGTGTTTCTAATGACCACCTATGACCCCAGTGCTAAAACATAAATGAATTAACACCTCAGTGACAGTGTCATAGAAACAAAACACAGAACAACATACTTTATGGCAAAGCAGTTGTATTGGGCTAATGTATGTACATAACAAGGCAACAAACACATTACACCATCTATATGAAAATACTGCCTGTATTTTGATTATAGCTACAAGCAAATATTAGCCAGGCTGATAAATGATGCATCAATGTCATTATTGATATCCTGGTGAAAATGTTGGCTGATAAGTAACAAGAAAATTCACTAAAAAATGTCAGACTGTTTAGAAATTGTTGGAAATATGTTTACTAAGGGACAGTAACACCAACCCACCAACCTCTAAAAATGTAACAAGCTGATTTTATTCGTAGTAGTGTTATCATCATTGTTATTGGTCATTTTATTTATTTTCCCTCCTTTTCCCTTTCTTGCATTTCATAGACTGAATAAGTTGGAAATACCCACATTTCACACACTACAGTCTTGTTAAACACTATATATTTTTGTAATATTATGTATCTGTTGTCTTGTCTCCCATGTTTGGTCCTGTTTTGTTAATGTGTTACTTTGTTTCAATAAAATAAATAAATAAAAAATTGCAAGTAGTGACATGGTCTTGAATTGATATGCAGAGAAACATGGTGTCAGTCTCCTTTATATACGTTTTTATGACTGTTTTATTTTACCATGCTGATTAACTTTGCTTTGCTGAAGCCAAAATATTTGACAAGTACTCCACATTCATATTAGTTTACATTACATTTCTATTTACATGTGCATTTATTATGTTATTTGTGTTTCTATAGTTTTACGTCATTCCACGGCCAGCAGTAAAGTGTCAAAGTACATTGGTTGTCTGTGGTCTGTGGGAGACGTTATCTGTCTGTCGAGTCAAACAAGGTCTTTTGACATAGAGGACAGAACACGTATAATCAGGAAGGAATTGTTGGAAATATGTTTACTAAGGGCCAATAATACCTAGAGCCCACATCCAGAGCAGCATACCGGACCCCCTGGACCCCCTGCAGTATGCCTACTGGCCCCACAGGGCCACCTCAAATGCCATCGCAGCTGCCCTCCACTATTCCCTTCCTCACCTGGAAAATGGAGACTCCTACATCAGGATACTCTTCATTGACTACAGTTCCACCTTCAACACAATAAGTAAAGGCAATGTTTAAGTTGAAAGCATACTCATTTATCATTACATTCTAGGATTATCAACGGGAGAAGTTAAGACACACTGTTAAGCGGTTATATGATATTGTAGACGCAGTTTGTACACGCTAATATACGTTATTGTAGACGCTGTTTGTACATGCTAATATACGTTATTGCAGACGCTGTTTGTACATGCTAAGAGCCGTTGTATGCACATGTAAACGTGCCAGTAGATGCTGTGCATTTATTATGTTATTTGTGTTTCTATAGTTTTACGTCATTCCA